CCGAACACACGGGATTGTTCCAGAGCTGCAAAACTGGGACAGCAGCATGTGAAAGATGGTAACGCACGGAGCGCTGGTGTTTGTGCTTCTGAGTGCTCGCGGCTTGTGGAAAACAGCAGGGAAGAGAACAATGCAGGAATGCAGCTCCTCAAAGATCACAGATTAAATTTACTGTCAGAAAGGAATCACAAAGCCCCAGAATGGTTTGGGTGGGAGGGACCCCAAATCCCCCCCGTTGCCCCCCCGGCATGGCAGGGACACCTCCCACTGTCCCAGGTGCTCCAGCCTGGCCTTGGGCACTGCCAGGGATCCAGGGGCAGCCACAGCTGCTCTGGGCACCTGTGCCAGGGCTGCCCACCCTGCCAGGGAAGAGTTTCTTCCACACATCTAAGCTAAATTTCCCCTGATTTAGTTTGACCCCATTACTCCTCATCCTGTCACGACAGTTTCTGAAGAAGAATAATGATCACCTGCATCAACGTAATCTCTTGCCAAGGCTGCAATGGAAGGAGATATGTATTTACACATTCATCTTTATCTATGGATACATATTTACATGCTTATTTATATATACATGTGTTTGTTTATATACATCACACAGGACCATATGGCTGAGGGAGGCACTGACAGCATCCTGGGCTGCTGGGAAAAGCTGGGACATGTTTGGGGAGTAAGGAAAAGGCACCAGAACCAGCAGGCAGCACTTGGCCAAGGCAATGCCTCACTGAGCCCCCTAAGCAGCGTTACCAACAGGTGAAGGGATGCTGGAGGTGGCTCTAGGGCAGCTCAGCCCTCTCTGTGACAAAGAAGAGTCTGCCTGGATGAGCCTGAGGTTCTTCATCCCTGCTAAACCTGAATCCAGCCCGGGACACACCCTGGGACCCCGCTGCTGCCTGAGAGGTGCCAGTAAATCATGGATCCCTCTGGGACCCGTGCAGGGGGAAGGAGGGGATCAGAGAGCCCCTGCCCCAACACTGTGGCCCTGGGGGCTGGACCCCATCCTCACCTGGGGCTCACAACCCCCCACGAGCTGGGAATGCAGAATCTCTCCTCTTCCCACTCATGGCCCACGCTGAGAATAAACAGGTGGAATTTCATGTCCATGGAAAGAACAATGGGCTAGACTTGGCTTCCTTGCCTTTTCCCCTTCCTCTCCCACTGGACATTTATGGCATATTCAACCCCTCCTGTGCACATGAATACAAATGCAAATAATGTATTGCAGGGCAGAGAGGGGTTCCCAGAGAACAGGAAGATGAGAAATCATCAACAGAATAAAATGCAGAGGGGAGTTATTTACCATCTAAAAACGGTGGCCATTTAGTTGCAAGAGGTTCCACAGAAAAGGGAACATTGAGGTCAGGGAAGAGGACAGGACAGATCCCTGGAAAGAAGAGGAAGCTCTTTTTTCTTTTCCCCTTTTTCCTGGTGAGAAAAAAGAACCTGCTGGCTGCAGTGAAGCAGCCAAAGATCAGGGTAATGACAGTTAATGGATTACACGAATGGACTCACACAAATCTCAGCTGCACCCCCAGCTTTGACAACGTGCACCTTCTTTTTTAAGATGCTATTTTTTAACACCTGCCTTTGTGAGCAGGGTGACAGGGTAAACACACTTGGGCAATTCACTACAGTATCTGCAAAAATTCAGATTCTTGGTTGCATTTCAGGCCACAGTCCCATGGTTTTTGTGGCTGGAGGATGGGCCTCTAGCCCTGAGAATCTCAGCTACCAGTGGCCCCTCACTGTCCACTTAATTTGTTACTTAATTCCTCATTTCAAATTTAAAATTAAAAGCACTGTTTCACAGGACATCACAGTGAACATGTCCATGGTGTATTTTGCTCCTTTCTGTATTGACTTGGAAGATTCTGGGGTTTTCCAGTCCAACTGACCAAGGAAGGAGTGTTCCTGCCCGTATCCATTTGTGCTGACAAATGCTGGGAGTGTACAAGAGCAGAGGAACTACCCAAGAGCATAAAAGCACTTCACCTCATCAATATTCACAGACTGGAATCTGAAACGCTGTTCCCGGGCCCCTGATGCCTTCCAGCAGCTCCAGGAGCCGGGGGGAGGCTGGAGCTGGGCTGGGGATGCTGGGCATCAGGGTGCCCGTCAGTGCCAGCGCTGCTTGGCCAGGCAGGACTGCAGGAGCAGCCAGCACAGGGGATTCCACCCATTCTGTTCCCTTCCTGCAGCCTCCTGCCAGGAGCCACCCAAACCAGGACTGCAGGAACATCAGCACAGCTGATTCCAGCCATTCCTGTTCCCTTCCTGCAGACTCATGCCATGAGCCATCCCAGACAGGACTGCAGGAACATCAGCACAGCTGATTCCAGCCATTCCTGTTCCCTTCCTGCAGACTCATGCCATGAGCCATCCCAGACAGGGCAGGGCTGAGCTCTGGCACTGCCATCGCCTCCTGTGCTGGAAGGGGAATCAGGCAGCTCTGGCCCCACAGTCAGGCTCTGCCCCACAGACACGGGAGATTCTGACACAGACCTGCTGCAAACTGCTTCTGCTAGAGCAGAAAACAGGGCTGCTCCCTCCAGGCATAATAGCAGGGGTTTAAAGAGCTGTTTCCTTCCATTACAAATCATTTACCTGTGATAAAATCTTGGTACTACTCATTCTATACACACACACATACACACATACACACACAC